TGGTTGATCTTGACATGGCCTCCTTTGGAAAACTCCTCCTTGCATGTTTTCCTAGAAGACAAGATTCACACAGTTGATTTGGATGGTTGATTGATGGTACCCCATGCACCATGTTCGTTTCTCCCATTGTTTTGAGCGCTTCAAAATTCAAGTGCCCAAATCACATGTGCCAACACCATGATTCATCTTGCACATTAGCCTTCAAACACTTTGCATCAATTGTTTTAAGATTCAGAGAAAATAATCTATTCTTTGCCATATGCACTTTAGCAATTAGAATTCCACTTGAATCTCTAAGCCAAAGATGCATATTTTTCATGTGGATGTCATATTCCTTTTCAAGAAGTTGGCCCAAACTCAAAATATTATTTTTTAATTTTGGCACATAATAAACATCTTGAATTAGCTTGTGACTACCATCTTTACATGAGATCAAAATCGTACCTTTCCCTTCGATTTGAATCTTTGAGGTATCTCCAAAGGACACATTACCTCTCACCGTTTTATTGATCTCCACAAACTTTTCTTTGCATCCACACATATGATTGCTTGCTCCATTGTCCAAATACCACGAGCTGCAATCATCCCTGTCTTCTTCCTTGAGTGCCAGCAATAACGTTGACTCATCTTCTTCTTTCTTGTCGTCAACAAGGTTAGCTTTCTCTTCAACATTGCTACGACATTCCCAGGAGTAATGGCCAAATTTATGACAATTATAACACTCAATTTTTTATTTGTCATACCTTTGTCCATTATTTTCTTGGTAATAGTCACGTCCTCTTCCTCCTCTTTATCCATGACCACGACCTCTGAGTGTTTGGTGGATTTTAGCTTCATTGTTGAAGTTGTTACCGTTACTTCTTCCTCGTCCATGACCGCCACGGCCTCGTCCTCGTCCTCATCCATTCCCTTGATAGCTTTTTTCGTCTCCGTATCCTTGAAGGCTGCCTGAGTTTTAAGAAGTTGCTCCAATGGCACTTCTTGTCTCCTCTTGATCTTTTCTTCATGGGCCTGTAAAGAACTCTCCAATTGCTCCACCATCATTGAGTCTAAATCTTTAGACTCTTCAATAGCACACACCACAAAATCGAATTTAGGTATTAAAGTGCGAAGGATCTTTTCTACCACACGGACATCTTTTATGTCCTCCCGTATCTTCTTAATTGATTCACAACAGCCTTCACTTTTGAACAATAATCCGAAATGCATTCGGATTCTTTCATTTTTAAAACTTCAAAATCAGCCCTTAGAGTTTGAAGTTTTACCTTCCTCACCTTGTCAACTCCTTGAAGAGAATTTGTAAAATCTCCCAAGCTTCCTTTGAGGTGGTAGCATCGGCCACCTTCTCAAACATGGCATCATCCAATCATTGGTGGATGAGCGTGAGGGCTTGTTGATCCTTCTTCCTTGTCTTTGCCAAGACATTTTTTTCATTTTGAGGCAGAGCTTCCTCATTATCGGGTTTTGCATACCTTCTATCTACGATTTCCCACACATCCTGGGAGCCTAGAATGGCTTTCATACGTAGACACCATTTCTCATAATTATCTTTTGTGAGACGGGGATATTGAAAAGACATCGGACTATTATTCGCCATGGCTCTGATACCACGTTGTTGGGATAAAAAATAAATATCCCGCCCAGGAATAATATCCACGATAAATAACAATAACACAAGAGAGTAACAACAACACCAAATATTTTAACGGGATAAAATACAATACCCCAGCGGAGCAATATTACCACTATAATATTACAACTTAGTAGTGTCAAGAGACTACTACAACTCCGAAAAAAATAACACTCTTTATTTTAAACACCTCACTACAATATTACTCCCGCTCACTATTTATCTCACAGACTACAATCTGTGGATTACTCTCTCTACGCTCTATTGCGCTCTCTCTGATTTTTGGTGTGTAAAATGAGAAACCGAAGGGTGCTATTTATAGGAACTCTTGTCGCAAATCAAACCAATCGCAATGGTTGGTTTTGCAACTTGCAAATCTGTTTGCAAGTCTGTTTTGGTTATGCCATCGATTTGGTTACCAAAAATCAGATTTGCTCCTTTGCAAATTGCACAACTTTGTCAGACGTCCATTCAACTTGTTTTCTTCATTTTCTTTTTTTTTTTTAATTTCTTTTTATTTAAATGGGTCCCACAAAACCCATATCCAAATAATTGAAAACCATTATTGAATTCTCTGTAGAAGAAGAAGGAAAGGAGAAGCAGATAAGATGAAGGAAGAAAAACAGGAGAGATAGATAGATAGATAGATAGATAGATAGATAGATATGTGTATCAGTCGTGAGATTAGGTCACCAATTAAAGACCTTATATTAAGGAATACTTATTTATCACTAATTTGTATATGACTAATAAATTTTATACCAAAATGTAATTATGATAAAACCTCCCTGGTGGTAGCAAATAAGTTTAGTATTTAGTATGACTAGGTTAAAATCTCTTTTTTCTTTTACATTTGTAATTTTGAATACAATTTAATGGTTCAAGCCTAATTGCCAATGTATTGTATAGTTATGGGCACGAGGCAACCGCTTTTAGCACCAATATTTTATATTCAGTTTTAAAACCTATAAAATTTTAGTGAGTTTCGGCAAATGTCATATAGCTCCTATTGTTATTGTTGTTGCTTCTTCTTATTCTTTTTTCAAAACTTCAAGCCTGAAGTTTAACTGACATAACCTAACTTCATACACGATGATCTAAATTTTTGAACTGCCATAACCAAACTTCACACTCAAAGATGTGCGAAAGCCTAAATTAGATCATCTACATTTGAATTGCATTCAAAATTTAGAAGTGAGGTTTTCACACTCGACAGTATAAAGTTTGAAACTTCAGACCTGTGATTGAAACCATATAAACTTCGACTATTATTAAAATAAGGGTCTTAAAAATGGCTATTTGTGCACTACCCCATGTATCGTCCACTTTAACCCAATCTTTGGGCCCTTGGATAGAACTTCAAGTTTAATGTGGTGCTCCTCGCAGCACCCAAAAATGTATTCTAATTTAGTAACTTTTTTTCCTTGGGGTTTAACACAAAAGGCATATCTACGATTGAATTCCTGATCAATATATGGCCCCTAACATTTCCTTTTCATTCCGATATATGGGATTTTCTAAGGCAAGTTTCATTGCGAATCTCATTTCAAGTTCAACCATTTGCCTTAAAGGCTCAATGTCCAACCATCATACTAGATCACTTAGCTTGTAATGGTCGAGACCTAATTGCCTCACATTTTATTCCTCTTAGTTGCTTTAACCCAAAAGGCGTCTCTCCAGGCCAGTTGAATTTCTTAATTCACCCTTTTCTGCTACTACTTTATCCTCACGTCTTATGTGAGATTTGTGTAAAACAAGATTCATAGCTTGCGCACCCCTTTCAACTTTAATTTTCGGTTATCCTTGGGATGTTACATGTAATTGCCATGTGCCTTTTTAGTAAGTCCATCAATTTTTATTACGGCGAAAAAATAGAAATTATCTAGTATTGGAATAAAAACTATCCAAGTTACGTTAAATGGAGGGAATAGTTATTGGAAGAAAAAATTATGCTAACTAATTTGAGATTGAGTCATTGTTATTGTTATAGTTGTTACCATATCTTTTATATGTCATTGGTAGATATTTCTGAACATCGGACATCTGAGGCAACTTGGTGAATTCGTTAATGCAATGTAAAGTTAGTGGGACTAAATTTTGGGTGCACAAGATGAAAAGCTACCACACAGCATATGGCCTTAGACTGATAGATGACAACCAAATGTAGTAAAGTGTATCATGAGGTTTCCCCTACCCTTACCATAAACGAATTGAGTAATGGGTGATGGTGAATAGGACATCACATGGGAGTCTTGTTCCTAGGCGTCACAATTTCAAGAGACGCGATAAAATAAACTCTAATAATTCAAGAGAGAGAAGTACTTTTGGATATCGCGAGACCATTTTATAACCCTTTTTTTTTTTAATTTAACCATTCGATACTTGAAATTCACTAAATCAGAAGAAACATTTTTAGAGAGGTAAAACGCTATCTACCAAAAAGTTCTTCATTTCTAATACTTAAATTCAAAATTTCTGGTTAAAAGTGAAGAGTTTCCAACCATTCCGCACTCATTGGTAATGACAAAGATGTATTGGGGAGAGGTGATTAGCCAGGATATATCATTGCTTCAGCTGAGGACATGACCCACGATAGAAAGGTGTGAAGGTCGAGTATTTGGGTTGAAGGTCAACAGACAACCGTGAGTTTCTCCTAGGCTTACCAGTAGTGCTAGTACTATTCTTGTATTTTCTTATTCTTGGTTCTTTATTATTACATGTTGTGTCGTTTACTTCTGTACACTATTACATTGTTGTTACTAGTGTTTGTTGCTTTGTTTTTACTGTTCCTTCTGTTGAGGGCCTACCGGAAATAACATCTCTACCTTTATAAGGTAGAGGTAAGGTTTGCGTACACACTATCCTCCTTAAACCCCACTTATTACATTGAGTTTGTTGTTGTTGTTCCTCTTTTTCTTCCTTTAATCATCTAAAAATTCAGGAGGAGGTGTGAACTAGAGCTGTGAATATTTTCTTAAACAAAGATGAGGTCAGAATTCAATAGAAAAAAATCTTTTTTTTGGTAAGAGGGGAAACCCGCAGCCGCTACAACCCTGCCACAACCTCTACCCTTCGGGTGAGCACGTTGTGCGCACTGGGTAAATCTCCCTCTGTGTAATAGCCTGCATACCACACAGAAGATGTAAATCGCACTAAGCAAGCCTTGTGCGACAGGCTCATGGATGACCACCCTCCCAAAGGGTTTAGAAGAAATCTTTAACAGTCTACAGCTGAAATTTTAAATAAAAAAAAAATACATAAAGGGTTTACTCGTTTCTTTTTTTTGCTCTACTCTATTTACACTGTGGGTTGACTGCACTTACAACAAACTTATTCAATCCCATTAATTGTCACTTTTCAAAAGAGCCTCTTACTGTCTCTCACTCTCCTTTTTCCCATACTTTGAGAAAATGGATGGTTGATATGGAGTTTAATCAAAATGTACATCTAAAATTTTACACCCTCTTTTGTTACTTTCCTTCAATACCACTTACCTACACTACATCAAAAAAATAATTTGTAGTTTAGTGTAGACATACACGCAAAAAGTAGTATTGCAGTTGGACGGTCCAATATTTTCCTATCTATAACTACCCTTCTGCTTGTGCAACTCACTTCCATTTTCTGCAAGCTCTTCTGTTCAAAGCTATACAAAATAGAATTTTTCTGCAAGGTAGACTTTCTTTATTTCTTTACCTTATCCTTGCTATATTTCCTGATCAAAACATCATAATAAAAGTATCAAGAAGTAACTACAAACATACGCAAGTCTAAGAAAAATTGTTGTTTTGCTTGTTTTGGATGCACACAAAATATATTTAATTTCCCCGATTGAGGATATAATCTAGCTAACGAGATCGTGATATTGGTTTTGCTTTTTTCAGCTTTAGAAAGGAAGATGGAGTTTCCTAATGAAGAATTTGAGTCATCTAATTCTCAGAGGAAATCAGGAAGAGGAAAGATTGAAATCAAGAGGATTGAAAATACTACAAATCGACAAGTTACTTTTTGTAAGCGTAGAAATGGACTCCTTAAAAAAGCCTATGAGCTTTCTGTACTTTGTGATGCTGAAGTTGCCCTTATTGTCTTCTCCAGCCGTGGTCGCCTCTATGAATATGCCAATAACAGGTTCAATATTTTGCCAAGATCTGCTAATTTTAACCTAAAAGTTTTCAGCTAACTGATTTTCCAAATATTTTTCTTTATCCGTTTGTGTGTGTCAATTTAGGATTTTTTTTTCTATTGTTATGAATAAATAGATGTAGATTGATTGCCTTATGTCAATCTAGATTTTGTGTGTGGATTTCTTTATATAAGAAAGTAAATATGGTGTTCAGTTAAAAGATTGTGTTTCTTCGTCACAAAGATTTGCTTATCTAATTGTTTCTTTTATTTTTTTGTTTCTTTTCCTTTATAAGGTTTAGAACACTACCTTTTCTTTTGTTGGTTTTTCTCAGTTGCTTCTTTGATTTTAAAGATAGATCTGTTGAAAAACAGATATAGAGAAATAGGTTGTACAAATAAACTTACAAGTAAGGTTAAGAGATATGAGAAAGTACAACGAAAATCTTAGCTTTCCTTTCTCTATCTCCATTTTCTTGGCATCTTTGCCATTTCCTCTAGTGCATTTTTCTCTCTCTGTCTCTCTCTAAGCTGTCATATTCTGATTTGTTCTCTACTTCTCCAATTGACGTTTCCTTAATAACATGTCATTTCTTTCAGAAATCACAGAGGCCATAGCCTATCAACTTGCAGATTAGGGTTTCAGATCAAGTTCCCTCTTTCAGCCAGTCAAAAGCTGAATTAGGTTATTTAAGCGTGGCAATTAGATTCTGCCCTTCTTTTTACCATTCTATCCCTCTACAGTCCCAAATAAAACTACTCTATATTTCTATTTCTAGGGTTTCCATAATCTTGAAAGGGCCTGATATAGAAGTCATTCAACTTCCAATTTCAGGATAGTCAAAACTTTACCTTTGAGTGATCTTAGCAAATGGGTTTGTTACCTTCAGTAATTTCTTGAAATGAAACATTGTAATATGGGGCTAGGGTTTGATGTGATTAATTAGGACCATAGACATCATATCATACGGGAGTTAGACACGAATATTTGGTCACGTCAGATACGAATTTTCAGTTCTGAGCTAAACAACAGGTTTTGTCATATATTCCTTTTCTCGGTTGGTTTCTTTCTTTACTACTCACTTCATTCAAAAAAAAAGAAACTTTTTATCTCAAAGGGTAAAATTTTACTCTTTATGTATTATGTTAGCTCCTCCAATAATTAGATTAGATATATCTCTCTTGCGTTTAATCTTCAACTTTGACTTGAATATCAAGCTTAAACAGCTAACCAGGTAGAAAAATCCTAAAACAGATCTATAAGAAATTCAACGTACTCTCTCTCTCTCTCTCACTCCCATTTTATACGTCTCTCTTTCTTTATTACTAATTTGTAAAAAGATGTCATCTTTCTATAGTTAAAAACTCTTTAACTTCAAATTTTTCATTTTTTTCATGTTTTTATACCTATCGAAATGTCACTCATCTAAGAGCACATATTTTAAGGGTATTTTTGACATGTACATATGCTTCCTTCTTAAACTAATATCCAAAAAAATAATGTGAAACGTCGGAGAATATGTACTAATATGTATGAAGACCTAGTCAAACTAACGAGGGTCACAATTGCATCAGATTTTGCTCTTAGTTTTTCACCATTTGTTGAGGGAGAGAGGGGTACGGAAAAAGAGAAAGAGTGACTGCACTTTTCGTGTGATGTCTTTCGTGCATAGGGAAGAGCGTGCAACCATAGAATGGCTGCTCTTTGAACTGACTGCTTCTCATCTGCTGCACTCAAAACACTTTAACAGAAGAGAAAGACTTCACTAAAAGCCTCACACCACACACACACACACACACACTAAAAAACACAAGGAGAGTATAAACTAATGGAGGAAACTGCAAGGACGGAGAAAGGAAAGATAAAGTTTTGGATGTTTGAGAATGGGGAGAGATATCGAGGTGGGTAAAAGGGTAAACTTGAGGGTATTATTCCTTGGGTAAAAAGGAGAGAGAGATAGAGACATGAATTCGAGCCAATCATGTTGTGGGATCTTGCGCCAGCGTGGCAGGGGACAACCAATCACCGCCTCGACGAAATTAAGGTTACAGAGCTTCTTCCCTCACTGTAAGTTGCAGGTCTTCACCATAGAAGCTAAGTTCATCCTTAACCCAGTGGATAATACTTGGAAACTTAAAAGAGGAATCGCATATTCCAAAACCAATGTCCATTTTTTAAAGATAAAAATTTGTTTTACTTTGACCTCTTGACCTACTAATTTCGAGGTATATGGCAGAAAGCTACTCAGAGGGCGTTTGGACATGAGAATCGTAAAAATTCCAGAAAAAGTGAAGAAAAAAAAAAGAAATTTAAATCCAAATGGTATTTGAAAATTAGAGTTGTGTTTGGACATAATTATAATTTTGGGTTGTTTTTAAATTTTTGTGAATGATCTGAGTGAAAAAATTTTAAAAAATAACTTTTTGGAGTTTTTTAAATTTTCGAAAAAATCCAGAATTCATCTTCAAGTGAAAATTGAAAATTTTATTGCCAAACACTTTTTTTTTAAAAAGAAAAAGTAAAATGGGTAAAATAAAGAGTTCAAATGCTTAAGGGATAAAAGCTTTGTGGGTCATGGCATTTTTGTGGTTACAAAAGCACTTCTCATTAAGCGTAAAATGAGTAAAATAAAGAGTTTAAAATTGAATTATTTTCAATTGTAAAAATATGTCATTATTTTTGGAAACCACTAATAAAGATAGTGCTTCACCTAAATTGAAACAGTATAATTGTCACAAGAAAATAGATTCATATATTATATACTACTTTTATAAATTTAAAGATGCCTTGCCTCCATGTTTTCTCGATTATGAATGAGCATTAACATTCTAATACAGCCATTTCATAACTTAGTATACAAAGAAAATTTCACTTCATCAAGAGTTAAGAAATCTAACTCCAAGAGAGTGCCTTTGTATTTTGTCTAGTTGTTGAAGGCCTCTAATAATGTGTGGAAGATCTTACTATCAAAATCTTTTTGGCGATTGGTGCAGTGCTTATGCATAATTGTCCTGGGTTGAAAGACAGGCCGTTTGAACTATAAGATTAGAGAAACCTTCATTTAGGGGCGGCTCAATACTATTAGGGATCTAAAGTCAAACTTCCATAAGGGGCCTTTAATTATTTTTTTANNGAAGCCAGCTACAGTGCACCTCCTATTCTGAGTTATTGCCGTGGTCAGCCAGCCCGTATGGATCAATCTCAGTTTCAGCAGCCATAATACCAGGATGGGATGGTTTTGAGTGTGGTGGTTATGGGTATATTAGGAGGACTTGTCCGAGATTATTGGGCGAAACGCCACAGCAGAGTTCTCATGCCATTATTCCGGCACAGGTTACATCACCGACCCCTCAGCCAACTAGAGGTAGGGGGTCAGGGAACCCGAGGTAGAGTAAGGCCGCTAGAGGTGGAGGTCAGGCTGCTAGAGGTGGAGGTTAGGCCGTTAGAGGTGCAGGCCAAGCCGCTAATGGTGGACTAAAATAATATATGCATACGTATAAACAAATGTAGATGAAAAGTAGTACTAAAAAGTTGGAATAGAAGAACTTGAATCATTAATTTGATGTGAAAAAAGATTTTGTTGCTTTCAAAATATACTTCTGGTAGGCTTTAGCTTGATTAACGAAAAATACAGAACAATATGATCTCTTGGAGGCACAAAGAAAAAATATAATAGTAGTAACATTTGGTGAGAACTGAGAAAGATTAAAAAAGGGGAAATTGAATATGGTTTACATAATATTTAATGAGAAAAAGACTAAAGAAAAAAGAATAATCACTTGATTCCTTCCATAGATTTTGCATTTATACGTTAGGAACCCATTTTTAAGAAACAAAAATATTTTTATTTTTATTTTTTACCAAAATATATAATAAGAGTAAAAATACTTAATTAAAAAAAAAAATTATAGGGTAAAAAATGGGGCCCCCCTAAAATTGGGGGCCTAAAGCTTGGGCTTTAGAGGCTTTACCCAAAAGCCGGCCCTGCCTTCATTCTATTAAGATTTGCTCTGATTTTCTACCATAATTTAAAATTATTTTTATTGGTGGAAATAGACTTTCATATTTATACTTTTCTTTGAGGAAAAGTTTTGCACTCTATAGATTGATGATTCCTTCTCACAATAACACAACATAGCATCCACAACATTGTCCCTTAAATTTTTTGAGAGTTTTATTCAGGAGGAGAATTTTTCTCATTATTTTTAGGTTATTATAGTGAATCATTCATACGTAGGTCAATTGACCAAATCATATTAAATTATAATATTTCTTCTTTGGCATCTAATGTATCATCGTCATGATTTACTTTGTTAGCTTTCGCATAACACCTACACATGCTTACCATGTTTTTTCTTATTCTTTCTCTAGAAGAAGACTCTTCTAAAAAATGGTTTTATTCCTAGGAGGGTTAAGTAAATGCCTACCCATTACTTAGCAGATACAAATTAAACAAGAGAGGGATCAGTGATATTTTACTATCCATTGTATTACGTGAGTTATCAGCTAAATTATGCTTGTACATGCGCTTGTGTTCTAGGTGTCTAAATCTAAAGGAATTATAAGACGTTTTGTTCAATCTGAGAGGCACCTTGTTGTGGAAGGAAATATCATTAGAATTGACTATGAAATGAAAGAACATAAAATTCAAAAGAGTTGCTCCTCCTCAGCACACTTTAGTACTTAGGTTGCTAAAGTTAGTACTGCCGTCATAATCTAATTTGGGTCCATGTTTCCATTTTGACACCTCTATCACGAAGAATTAAAGGTATTTGTCGGTCGGTATGGTACGATAATTAGATATTTCGGTTCGATATTTTCGATATTCAGTTTCTTAAAATGTTATACCAAAATACCGTACCTAATTCATTTCAGTATGATTCAACTTTTCTCCTTTCGGTTTATTCGGTACTGTAAATTTGATTTGTTCGACTTAAATATTAATATTGACAAAATCTTTGTCCAAAATTAACAAGTATTAATCCATAGAAAGAAAAAAGGTTCATAAAGGAATATATTTGATCATTAAAAATATCTTATTACTTGCTTAGAGATAATTACTGAACTTAGAGAATGCAATAGATGCAACATCAATACACTAGTAAGAAATACTCTAAAATCATAAAAATTATGTTAACCTGCTTGGCAACCTGAAGAATAAGAGTCAGAATTTGCTGCCTAACTTGTTCATTTATTTTTCTAAAGAAGTTCATGGGTTTTAGTGTCGGCCGCATCATGAATGCCAAAGAAAAGTATTATGTAACTTAGTATGTTATAATCAATAATATGTGGTTATGTAACTTAGTACATATTTCGATACGGTATCCGCGGTATTATTTTTTTTTAAATATCAAATACCATACCTAACCAAATTTTTTAAAAATTTAAACCAAATACCATACTAAATATCAAAATACCAAATATCAAAATATTTATCAAATTTTCAAACAGTAGGTACTTGATCCCTTTACCCACCCGCCCAACCATATTCTGATAACATAATGAAATCGGACAGCACAACTACCTAAGCTGATGTGCAAAATGATGTCAGTATGTGACTTGGCTTGGTTGTTCTTTTTCCTTGTTTTTTTTTTTTAATTTTTCTATTACAGTATTTGTCTAACTGATACGCTCCCTTTGCTTCTCTGGGAATCTGCTACCATTTGATGGTTAAAGTAAAAACGAAGAAGGAACCATGAAACACAGTGAAAATCAAGTTTTAGATGCAGTGTTTTAGTTGCTTTATTTATTTTATTTTTCATTTAATCCCTAAGATGTTTAATATTTGATATTTGAGAATGCTGGTTTTATATTGCTTTCTTTCATAATTTCTTTTTCAATGGAGGGTTTGATGGCTGGGAGACTTTTCCTGTGATGCATTTAGGCGGAGCCAGTATTTTACTTTTATGGGTTCTAAATAGTGTTGATAACCGGGTTTTTTATTTTTTTACATTTAATGAATTTCTTAATAAAATTATACTGTTAAAACAAAAGTTATTGTGTCCGGCCGAACCCGTACTCGTGCTACTAGGTCCGCCCCTGGACTGATGCAGGTTGGCAAAACCTCTAAAATTCTCAAACTATATAGAGAGGAAAATGGTAAATTGTTGAACATTTATGAAAAATGTAGGTTGTAAAAAGTCTCCAGGGTTTTTGGTATCTTTGACACTGTAATAAAGGAGATGCTGGCCAGTGACCTGTTATCCCATAGACTTCTTCCATGTTGGTTAGAATGCATACTTTTAATTTATTCGGGCATTAAGAGAAAACAATTATGCGGTTTAAATTAGGGTAATGTTAAAAAGCCTTAATTTGTTTATCAATTCTAATTGGGTATATGTGCAGTGTAAGGGCGACCATTGATAGGTACAAGAAACACCATGCTGATTCCACCAGTCAAGGGTCTGTTACTGAAGCTAACACTCAGGTATACTTTTTTATCCTCCTCCCCTCGTTATTCTTCGATCCTGAGTCATGAACAACAGTAAAACATAAGTCTTTTTTGATGTCTTTGGATAGAGTTTCCAATTTTTAGTTCTTTGATATTGCAGAGCATCTTTGTGCTTATTTTTAAATAAAAATGTCTTTAGTAGCATTTCATGTCCCAGCCCGTCTAAGTCAACAATAACATATCCCAGTATCCAGTGTAATCACATAAGTGGAGTCTGGAAAAATAGTATATACGCAAACCTTACCCCTACCTTGTGAAGGTATAGAGGTTGTTCCCGATAGCCAGCCCATCTTCTCATTTGTTTGCACTTAATGGAGGTCTAAATCTTAAAACATTCATATCTCAAACATTAAGTGCGTTTGTTTTTAAAGTCTGAATTTTAATCATTAAGTTCATAATCATTCACAACAATTTAATGGGCCTGAATAGGTTTGTATGATTAAGATCTATAACAAAGACTTAATTTTATTAATATGCTAGCATTAACATTCATTACTTATTGCCGCTACCGCCTACCATTATCAACTACAATCACCACCATACTCCACCACCACCATACTTAACCATAGCCGCCACCACCCACCACCATCATCTTCAACCGCAACCACACTCTCACATCTTAACTACCACAACAACTACCCATCACCATCAACAATCATAGCAGACACCGTCCACCATTACAAACTACCACCGCCCACCATCACGTTCCTCAATCACAACCACCACCACCACTCACCATTATTAACTCTCACCACCTACCGCGACCATCCTCAATCATAATCGACATCGCTACCAATAACCACTAGCTACTACCCAGAACCACCACCAACCACCGCCTCTAGTTGGCATTCACACGGACCTCTTTTAGTCATCACCACCACCAACTATTATATTTTAAAAGTTATATAAATTTTATTGATATTATCAGATTAATTAGTATTTTATATTTTATGTTTATTAATTTTAAAGATAAATTTTATATATTAAGATGTTGAAAAAATAAATAGTCTTAATAATTTAAAAATTCAGATCTTAATACACATCTTAATATTCATATGTATATCCAGATTCAGAAGTCTAAATCTTAATTTCAAATATGTATTCAAATTCAAACGTCTTAATATTTAAAAAAAATCAAATTAGGCCTAGTCTAATATTATAAATATCTTGTTTCTCTAACACAACAAGTTTGGACATTATCTACTGGCATAAAAGTCTTTGACAAAACAAAAGACTTATATATAGCATAAAGTAAAAGTACGAACATAACTAAAATTTATCCTAACTACTAATGGGTATGGTTTATATAGATTGTGTTTTCCATCACAGAAAAATAGAAATGGGAAATGATATGTTAAAAGAAATGTTTGTGTGCATTTGCATTTGATCTTCCTATTCAAGTGAATATCATAATAGAGTTGATTAAATTGACGCAACTTTATTTTCCTCAGTATTACCAGCAAGAAGCAGCCAAATTACGACGACAAATACGAGATATACAGACTTATAACAGGTCGGTGCAAAGAGAAATGAATTAGAAGAGTTGTAATTAATTAATGATGAGGCTTACCGCTTACGATTATGTTTTTTTTGTTTAGGCAAATAGTTGGAGAGGCACTGAGCAGTTTAAGCCCCAGGGACCTCAAGAATTTGGAAGGGAAACTTGAGAAGGCCATTGGTAGAGTCCGTTCCAAAAAGGTAATATTCCAATTGTTTCGTTAGCTTATTCCACTACTTTTCCGATTATCCTAATTAATTCAACACCTTCTTATGATTTTCCAGAATGAATTGCTCTTCTCAGAAATTGAGCTCATGCAAAAGAGGGTAAAACCACTCATTCTTGTACTTTACATACTAAAACCTTTTTTATTAAACCCTCCATACAACTACAACTGCAACAAATACATTGTATTTTCACAAGTGCGGTCTGGAAAGACAAAGAGGATGTTTTAAATAGACCCTGCATATTAATATTGATGACAAAGAGGGTAGTGGTTATATGGAGTTCTTTTTTCATCTTTAAAGAATGCCAAATTACTTCTTGCAGGAGATTGAGATGCAGAATGCCAACATGTATCTACGAGCAAAGGTCCTATTTTTTTTTCCTAATAGTAATGCTTTTGTGTTGAATATTTGCTTCTGTTACTACTGATTTATGATTTACTAGAATAATAAATAGTCGTAGGATGAGTCTTTGTTTAACTTTAAATTTAGTTGGATAAGTCTTGTTGACATATTTTAGGTTTTTAAATTTTGAATATTTTTCTGCAGATTCTGTTCTCAAGTTGGCTATTTAAAGCCTTCTATGTTTAATTAAAAAAATGAAAGACATTTTCAACCAATACTTTTAATCTTCTTGCTTCTCCATCATTTTAAAAAACTCAACATTGGTATCAAAAACCTCATTGGTCTTATGGGACATGTGATGAGTTCTTTCTAAAGAACAACTTTCAACCATTTTTAACTCATATCTGTTTTTAAACCATTTTAACTCATATCCATTTTTAAACATTTGAACTCATATCCATTTTTAAACCATACCCATTTTTAGACATATGAACTCATATCCATTTTTAACAATATCAACCTTTAACATTATATTCAACTATGGCAAGCAGTCATCTCTTTTTTAGTCTCCCAGAAATCTTTATTGGTGAAAACTATTAGATTTGGTGTGAAGATGCAATCTTATTTTAAAGCTTCTGAATAATCAAAGAAAATTGTGACCTTTGCAACAGATAAACACAATGAAAAATTAGAGAATGCAAGATTGAAATTGTTGAGCATTTTACATGTTAGTTTTGAACCTACTGATGCTAGTATGTATTACATAACTTTGAAATTCATGGATTTTTTTTTTCTAAAAAAAATCTTCCCTACCAAGCCAAGATCCGGAGAAAAATCAGCATTGGTTACCGAGTTGAGATCTTTCGACATGTTCCTTATGTGATAAAAATTTTGAGATTGTTTTTTATGCACAAAATCAAAATCAGAAAAAGAAAGAAGAAGAAGAAGAAAGTCATGTTACAAAAATGTGAAAGTTCAAAGATCAAAAGCTCCTCAAGCATAAACAACAGAAGCAGAAATTGAGGAATAATTTTTTATTGATTGCACAAACTGAAGCAAAGGAGGAGTGTTGAATATTTGCTTGGAGTCAATGTTTAAATTTAAATTTAGTTGGATAAGTTAGTTGAGTTATTATAGGTTTTTTGAATTTTGAATATATTTTCTGCATATTTTGTTTTCAAATTGGCTATTTAAAGCCTTCTATGCTTAATAAAAAAAAATTGAGAGACATTTTCAAACAATACTTATAATCTTTTTTGCTATCCCATCTTTTAAAAACGATACTATTATTATAAAAAGAACATTTCTTTAACTTAAAAATTGATCTTTCAAAGATGTTGCAGATAGCGGAGGTAGAGAGAGCACAACAGCAAATGAACTTGATGCCAGGAGGATCTGAATACAATCATCAGCAGCAGGCAATGAGTACTTCTCAGAATTATAACGATGCTCGTAACTTCCTGCCTGTAAATCTGCTGGAACCTAATCCCCATTACTCTCGCCACGACGACCAAACTGCTCTCCAGCTTGTGTAAGCTTCTCTTTCCCCCACCTACTTACTGTCACTGCTGGTTTGGATTTAGATATCTGTCTTAACTTATTTTATTACAAAAATAATTAAAAAAAGCTCTCTGACCGGTCAGCACCAACAGGTATATATAACTTAAACTCTTAAAACACAATATGTGAAAATCTATGTTGTTCAAACTCTCTGAGAATGTCGCCGGTTGCTTGTTTTGGAGAGTCCCTGCAACATAAGACTGAAAATACTAACAGTCTGTTTGGATCATTGTTCCCTATCGTTTTATAATGTATTGTATTGTATTGTGTTGTATTGTATTGTATTGTATCGTATCGTTTTATACATAAATAATATTTTGCTATTTGGTTTGACTGTATCGTACTGTACTGTAACTGATAAGTTTACTAAAATGCTCTCAATTATTTAAATATTAAATTTATCAAAAATTATGCATAAAAATAATTTTAAAAAAAAATAAAACAGAAGGGCAAAACACCTTAAAAAAGCAGAACAAAGGAGCGAGACAGAAGGCAAAATAAAGGAGCACAACTAATTAGAATTGAGTTAAAAGCAAATTAGGAGAAAAAATAAAACAGAAGGCGACAAAACACCTTTTACGTTGGCGGTAAAAGTTCTGAAAACAAACAAAGTAGGTTATAGGTTGGAGATTTGGAGTTAAAATAGAAAAAAAGGTAAAGGGTAAAATAGAAATGTGGAGTAATAAGTTAGGGCATAATTGGAAAGAAAAATAGGAAACAATCCCACCACACCAAATCGGTTGTTTCAAAAAAGGGGGCTTTTCATTGTTCCGGAACAATGGATTTAACAATACAATACAACCAATTTTAATGAAACAATCAAAACAAACATTGTTTTGGGATAACAATACGATACGATACAATGGGAACAATCATCCAAACAAGCTGTAAGTGGAATGGAATAACTTAACTCCACTATCTTCTAGGCAGAATGAGTATTACCCGTTTCATTATAATTTTGAATCAATTGTGGCCGGTTGAGCTACCTAGGTTTCTCACATGAATTGCATAAGGAGTTCAAATAAATTTATAAATTTTGAACTACTGCGTCCATGATCTTAAGGTTTTAAGTAGGATGCTTAGATTTTTTCGACATGATATCAAAGCTAACCATTGGTGTAAGTCCATTCCCACACTAGTTCAAATTAAATCCGCATTGAGGTTTATGTATGAACTTTGAAATCGGGTTACACATGTTGGCTGGTATTGATTTTATCTCTTCAAAGGTAAAATTATTAATGTTGATGCAACATATTAGGTATAGGAACATCTCTAGTGAAATTTGTCCCTAAGAAGTCTGAAATAAAGGTATTAAGTTAGATAGTTGCCAGATTGTCTATTGACTTTCAAATGAGTTTATAACAAAAAGTCTTAGACTATTCCATCCATTGCCTTAGTTGTTTTGGGTTGGCTGGTCAAATACTTTCATACTATGAATCCTCATCTATGCTATACATAAAAAAGCAAAAAGGATAGCTCGGTGCACAAGGCATTTCGCATTCACGCAGGGTCCGGGGAAGGGCCGCACCCCAAATACTTTATGTAGCTTCATCTATGCTGTACATAGTTGGTCAAAATCTTAATGAAGGACAAGATGCTTTGTCTAATCTAACAAGGACCTAAGGCTATGGTAGGAAATTTCTGAAGCTGGCAAAATTTTGGAGAAGCTTATATGTCTCATATATAGCTAGCCAACAATATGCCATCCTCTTATAAGCTTTACTTGAGACAATAATGTTGAAGCTGAGCCCTCGTATGCAAGATTATTGTATATTTTTCTATATCTTAATGGACATATTTAAAAGTAATGCTACAATACTGATTATTTCCCCTTTTTGTCCTGCCTGATGTTATTTCTGCAGCTGATATATTGGAGGGCTCTACTATCAAGTTTTCTGAATTTGGGTCAGGGGTCTTCCTTCATCTTCAGAAACGTCACTCCAATTTTAACCTATAGTTGTAAATCATCAGAACTATCTCCACTAAGATTTTAACTGTTTATTTTCAAGCATTCAGTCATCTGTTAATTAAGGAATGAAATCTTGTTTGATGATGTTGCCTTTTACTCTTACAGGCTTTCTATAAATGCTATAAACAATGTTGATGTATGGCAGGGCAGCCTAGTGATAATTTTAAAACCAGCTATTAATCTCTTCATCTTTAATTTATCGTAGAGAGTGGACTTCCCTCCGTTAGCTCATGTATTTAAACTGGTCCTCATTACATGGATGAAAGTACAGGACATTTCAGACAAGGAAAGGCTGATCACTTAACCGAAGAATCTTATGGTTAATTTTTTGTTATTTGGATTTCTGTATGTCTTCAGGTAACATGGTCAGTTATAGCCACTTCAACTCAGTTGCATCTACAAGAAAATAAGGCTATGACAGACATTTTAAAAATGTCGCCATAGATCACGTAAATGTTACAAAATGGTTAACCGACTTTTATTTTACACATAAAACAAATGTCGGGAATTTTCCGATATTTAAATTAGTGTCATAAAATAATTAGTGACATTTGTTTTACCACATATTGTCAAATGTCAATAAGATGTACTCTCGACTCATTTTGCTTGCGACATAAAACAGAAATGTCGGGAAATGTGTCTCATCAATAATTTTTCTGTTTTTGTTTTTTATATTAAAACAATATAATGAACTTTAAAATTCTTCATGATGAAATAACCATTTGATATTTCAGTACACCACAACACCACGAAAATGAAACAAATAGCCACTTCTGCATACTCTTTTTTTAAAGAACTACAAGCTGTAATTATCAAAATATTGTAATTAAGCAACGTAATAATACATAATTGTTCTCAAACAACTGTAAATTTTCTTTATACATCTCTAAAATAAGTTAAGAACGTCTATAGTGATAGAAAACTGATCAGAAAAGGATGAAGATTTATAAGTGAAAAATAGAGCAGAGAAAGAGGCAATTGACGTGAAAAAGAAATTGCTTGACTGATTGATTACAATGCTGCAACTGCAGTCTTTTTATAACATAAAAAACATAGCAAACTTAAGCTAAAAATTAGGAACTACCCCACAAAGTTTTCTCCTAAAAACTAGATAACAAAAACCATGTTAAACTACTTCCTAAGGACTAGGACAAACCTAAAAAAAAATAGGAGTTTTATTTACTAACACCCTCCCTTAAACTGAAAGCTTTCGAGCTTCAGTTTATTCTTCAATTTCTTGAGTTCTTCCATGGTGCAAAGTCCCAGCAATCTTCTCAAATTTTGGAAAGAAAGTAACTTGAGAGGTTTAGTGAAAATATCCGCCAACTGGTCTTCACTCCGGCAATATGTTAGCTCTATTGTTCCTTCATTGTTGAGATCTTGTACGAAATAGTACTTCACGTCAATGTGTTTGCTTCTTCCATGTAGCACCGAATTCTTTGACAACTTGATGGCAGAGTTGTTGTCACAGAAAATTGTAGTTGCTTTTTCTTGTTTGAATTTCAGTTCTTCAAGAATTCTCCTTAACGAAACAGCTTGACAAGCACAAGTTGTAGCAACAACAAATTCAGCTTCGGTACTTGACAAAGTGACAATTGATTACTTCTTAGAAGACCACGAAACAGCCCCCGTACCTAACATAAAAACATAACCTGAAGTGCTCCTTCTATCGTCTTGATCACCTGCATAATCACTGTCAGTAAAACCAATCAAATCAGATTTTTCACCCTTCTTGTAGAACAAAACAAAATCCTTAGTTCCCTGTAAGTAGCGAAGGATTCTCTTAGCAGCTAGCAGGTGAATTTCAGTTGGGCTCTTCATGTATCTGCTTATGAGACTTACAACATACATGATGCCGGGCCTTGTAGCAGTAAGATACATCAAACTACCTACAATTTGCTTGTAGAATGTGTTGTCCACCTTCTTTCCGCTTCCAACTTTGCATAGCTTCAAGCCAAACTCAACTAGAGTGTTGGCGGGATTGCAATTATGCATCTTGAACCTGTCCAAAATTTCTCGCACATACTTTCTTTTGGGAAACAAATATTCCATCATCAGATTGTACTACTTCTAATCCAAGAAAGTAATGCATCTTACCAAGATCGGACATTTCAAACTCATCCATCATAGACTTCTTGAAATCGGCAAACATGATACTATCATTCCCAGTAAATATAAGATCATCGACATATAAACACACAGTGAGTATTTTTCCAAATTCTCCAGTTTTAACAAAAAGAGAGTGTTCATATGGACATTTCAGAAAACCAACTTTTAGAAAGTATGCCTCAATACGACTATACCAAGCTCGCGGAGCTTGTTTTAGTCCGTAAAGAGCCTTTTTCAACTTGTACACCTTATGCTCATCAATTTTTATATAACCATGAGGTTGTTCTACAAATACCTGTTCTTCCAAGTGCCCATACAAAAATGCCGATTTGACATCTAATTGGAAAATAGGCCAAGAATTCTGTGCCGCTAATGCAATCACCAATCTGATTGTATCGTGTCTTGCAACCGGAGCAAATACTTCTGTGTAGTCAATTCCATATTCTTGTTTGTATCCTTTAGCCACTAAGTGTGCCTTATACTTGTCAACTTCACCATCTTCTTTCAGCTTTGTCTTGAATACCCACTTCACACCAATAGTTTTGTGCCCTTTTGGAAGATCTTATAGCTCCCAGGTGCCATTTCTTTCAATAGCATCAATTTCGTCATCCATAGCTTTCCTCCATTTATCCTCTTTGATAGCATTTTCAAAAGTTGTAGGATCACTATCTGCAAACAATGCAAAGTAGGAAAAATCATCTNTATATATATTAAAATTAAACCATACCGACCAAAGTTGATCGGTAAAGTTGAAATCTGGGTAATCCTTGTTCATTAACCGACCAACTTTGGTCGGTAATTTTTAATTTTTAATTTTTTTGAAACTTTAGCGACCAACATTGGTCGCTAATCAGCAGAAAATTATTTTTTTAATTAAAATCGACCAACTTTGGTCGGTTTTCCTGGGTTTAATTTTGCATAAAATAGTTGTTTTGGCAGCTACACCGCCTGCCAGCATACCAAAATCCCTAAATAACAACAACAACAACAACAACACAATTCATAGTGTATATATATATATATATATATATATATATATAGACACACACGCACGCTTCGTAGTACTACTTAACTGCTTATATAGCATGTTAGAGTATATTTTAGTCTATTCATCCCTTGTATTACAAAAGTATTAACGACTTACATTTATATTATTTACATAGTAAATACAAAAGTGATTTTTAATTTTGATCATTGTTGACCTGAAATGAGACCAACTTTGGTCGCTAATTATACATAAATTTAAACTAGCGACCAAAGTTGGTCGCTAAAAGTAAATCAGATTTATTTATATTTTATATAATATTTAAAATAATAAGATAATTGGTAAACGTTAGAACTGGGTCCCAGATTAGCGACCAAAGTTGGTCTCCATTTCTTTAAGCGACCAGCTTTGGTCGCTAACTTTGAATTATATTTATTTATATTTTATAATTTTTTTTAAATAAATATATAATTATTAAAATTTTATAACTTGGTCCCATTTTAGCGACCAACGTTGGTCGTTAACTTCTTACCCTTTATTTAACGACTTATATATATTTATATTTTGTAATTTTTTTAAAATAATAATATAATTACTAAAATTTTATAGGTGGGTCCCATTTTAGGGACCAAAGATGGTCACTAATCTCAGTTTACCTTTGACCAAGTAAGTCTGACCAGTCCGGTCAACATTTTGACGAAATTTGCGACCAAGTAGCGACCAACCTTGGTCGCTAATTTATTTCAAATATTTATTTTATTACTTTCGCTAATTTAGCGACCAACTTTGGTCGCTTTTTGTGACGGCTTTTTTTTGATCGTTTTTTTCCGGAATATTAGTTGTGAAGTTTGAAGTCGATGGAAATATCATGGTGTTATGGTGTCAGGAGTCTAGAGATTGATGCTTCGAATCTAGAGTCGTTTACATACATTGGACCTGATCTACTAGTGGTGCCATTTCAGAATGTTCACGAGTTATTTGAACTAACAATTGGACGACAATATTGTTGTTCTTTTATTTTTAATGGTGACAAGCACACAAGATATTCTTCTAAGCAGTGGCGAAGCCAGGAAATTCAATTGCCAGTGGGCTATGCAAGGATGTTCAAAGTCTATTTTTAATCGATAACAAGTACTAATATTTTACTTATACATTTTCAATGAATGCTCCTACATCCAAGTAAAAAGATATTTCACTCAGTTATGCATTTGAAATCTTATTTGCTGGATACTGTTTATAGTTGAATAAATTAATCTCAGATTACTCCATGTACTTAATTGGTAAAGATAAATGTACTGATCGGAAGTAAGGTTCCTGGAAATATGTAGACTATGATTATGTTCCGTCCTACTATATTTATTGACACGATAGAGGCCATTCTAAAAATCGTTTTAACTTGTATACACAGACTTGTAATGAATTTTAATATTATCAGGTCACCATATCTCGGTGATATTGGGTGTTTATTAGTGAAGATATAGTTGTAGAAATTACTACAATTTGAAATGTCTCCCGAAATTTCATGATTTGTTTAAAACATGTTACACAAGTAAACACAACAAATAACATGAAGTTGCATGGAAGCTTCCAAGCAGTCCTAACATAAATCAAATGAAGACTTTTGCAGTTCCTTCATATTTTGTTGAATCACATGTCCTAGCGGTTAAGGATGGAATTGTTAGACTTGTAGCGGATAGTGTATGTATTAAGTTGGCTGGAATTGGTGTCTGGTAGCTTCACTTCCCCACATAATCCTGTAATCAAAAGTGTTTCTAGGTATGCCAGTTTGTCTATCCAACTGGGAATAGAAGTTGCACCTACCCGAACAGCTAAATACCACAAATGGATTAGCAGTTTTATTTCTGTTAGAAAGTTATCCCAGAAGTTGACGCACTCCAAATCTAGCACTTTAACAAGTCTGAAGCATAAAAGGAATGAGAGAGATTTTCCCATCGGCTCTGTGCCATTGGTTGCTTTGAGTAGTTGGTTGCTTTGAGTAGTAGAGAGCGAACAGGGACGCTCATAGAAAACTGATCAGAAAAGGATGAAGATTTATAAGTGAAAAATTGAGCAGAGAAAGAGGCAATAGACGTG